AACCCAATCATTGAAAATACGAGAGAGAACAACAAAGAACTATGGATTCTCTTCCAAGATATAAGTAAAGCATATGACAATGTGGACCTGCATATCTTGGCGAAAGCCATGCGAAGGATTAAGCTCCCGGAGCCCCTCATCAACATCATTATGGAGGGTTTCAATAGCTGGAAAAACACAGTGATTACAGGATAGAAATTACTGACCCATATACAGTCAGGAACGGAATCGACCAAGGGGATGCTATATCACCACTCCTCTGGCGAATATACTATGACCCACTGATCAGCAGAATTAGCAAGATGCACAGATACAAAAGCATGAATAGAAATTATGAAAGGATACGCTTGCTACCTCCCAAAGCACCATCAACATATCAGTCATGGCATACATGAATGACACAGCATGGATTGCTGGAAACTGTAAAAAATTGGAAGCCATCACCAGTACAGCTAGCTACTTCTACAACTTTGCTTAAGTAAAAGTAAACCTGAGCAAATCAAAGCTCATTGTAATCAACAATAAACGAGAGACTGAAACGACCTTTGAGCAAGATACGATTAAAGCATCCACTAGTGCAGTCCGATACCTGGAAGTTTGATTCAACTGAGATAGCAGAAAGAAACATCAAATAAGCTTGCTTTACCAGACTACCTCGAATCTCACAAATCATTTGCTCTGAAAGAAAGTATTAGACAAACAAACCCAATACTTAGTCAATCACATAATATTACCCAAGTTAGAATATTTGGTACAAGATCTTTGCCTAACAAAGATCAAAACTGACCTTGTAGACAGAAAACTGAGAAGGATAATCAAATATAAAACTGGATTTCCTACCTTGGCCCTAAACTCAATCTTCTACAATAACCTAGGCTACAATGTTTTCAGCCTCAAAAACCATATGCTTCAGAAGCACCTGACCATCATCGAGGCTCTTTACACGGCAGCCAATTATGCTGGTAGATTATGCAGAGAAAGAATAATGAACCTTCAGTGGGCAGCTTGATCAGAAACTAGTATTCTGGAGGCATGCCCAAAGATTCACACAACAGGCAAAAACTTTGTGCAAGATATGCTCATCCGTGCACAGAAGCAAGGTTTGTCCTTTAGAGATAGATAGTATAAAAGCTGATGACAAAGGAAGAGTTGACATCAATCAAAGATTACATAGAAAGAAAATGGTATGACAAATACAGAGACAAACTTAGAGTTAGTAATCTTAGATGGATCGAACAGTTTGTTAACTACAATAAAAGCAAAATGATAAGCTGGGCCCAGATATGCTACACAAGCCATCAAAATGTACAGGGAGACAGCCCCATTTTTATGAAGAGATTATCAATAAAATAACCACAGGAACAACTAACCCAGGCTTTGCGACAAGACTGACAAATCTTTATCCAGTGGTCAACTCCTTTCACAATATGGTCTGGGCAAAAAGATGGAGCAGCAGATCTCTGAAGAAGCACAAGTTAATTTGGATTGCTGCTGAAGGAAACACAGGGGAGGAAGAAATACTCATAAGTAGACTGAGGAAAAAGGACACGAACACAACGATGGTCAGACATTACACCCGGCAGCTACACTCATCCTATATAACACCATGTGTTGGGTACGATATGAACAAATCAACCACTAACGATACTTGTATCATAGAAATGGCAAACAAAAACTCGATCGCAATCCCAGGAAAAAACAAGCAAAGTACCACAAATCAATGTGGAAGCAAAGGGACAGAGTTCCTAATGTCACCACAAAGTATCAAAACTAGGATGAACCATCAGAGAAGTTACAAATCTTGGGACCTTGAAGACATCCATGTTTTCAGTCACGTTCACACAAAGGGTTGGACTGAATGGATTGGGGATAAGACAACCAAAGTGAAAATCAGTCAACTCCAACAGGATATGGAAAAATGGTAGAGAGTTAGAGTCACAACGGACGCAAGTTGCTGCAAGAAATTTCATACAATCACCTTTCAGGTTAAAAACCTTGAGTTAGGGGTAAAAACAGAAATCGCATCTTTTAAGATTCCATGAAGGACATCATCAAATGAGGCTGAGCTTAACACAGTCATAGTAGCTCTCATATCCCTTCCCCATAAAACAGAAGCAACTATAACTACGGACAGCCAGATGGTAGCCACAGCACTGGCAATTAACAGGAACAAAAGCAAGATAGCGAGATTTACAGAATATACAAAAGATCTTGCGAAGCTAAAAAATATCAAGATCAAAGTAGAAAAGATCTGAAGGAATGGCAACCTGACCTTCACTAAAGTAGATGGTGAGGCCAAGCGAGTAAGATCCAAATAGCAAACCACACATCTTGACATAACACCACTTAATATGAAAGAACTAGTGCTAGCATATAAGAATAGGATCACCAACTTTAACGCCAGGGAAGCAGTCCATAACAATTTCAGAAACAAGCAGGTCACTGACTGGTGTAGCTTGGAGAGGAATCAGGACCTCATGCTACTCAACAACAGAATCGACTGGGAAACAACGGTGGCCTACCTATATTTTAAAAGGATAACCGCAGGCTCAACAGACATGGAGGATCATCAACGTAGGGTTTTCAAATTGAAGTCCTGGGCACAGGAGTTACTGACCATGATTAAACTACATTCTAAAAGAAGGGATTTATACAAATTCAACAGATGCATCAGATGCAATGCGGCCACCAAAAACCAGACATATGTCCTCATATGCAAAGAAAACAAACTTGACTTTAATCTATGCACGTTAGAGGTTATATCAAATTACCTTTAAAGTAGAGAGAAACGAAGTAAACTATGAGTTCAGAGATGGGTTAAAAAGGTTGAGTGTAATGTACAATACACCTGGATTAACATGATATTTAGGAGCCTAATTCCCAAGAATATTGCAAATGTGATTTATGAATGGACCAGAATTTTTAAGAAAAAGAAAGCCAAGTATACTCTTCTAAAGTGCTTCGAAGAGATACAGAACCTCGCAAGAAAAACCTGGCTACAGAGATGTGAAGCAACTGGAGAATGTGAAAGATCCCAAGAGATCACTAAATTGGAAAAGAGAGCAAGAGGCAAATAGAGCCAGAACACGCAAAAAGACCGACCAGGGAAACCAACAAATGAAATTGGTTTGGACTGGAAAAAAACCAAAACTTTTAATTTTCTTTTCTCACAAAAACTCAAGGAAAATAGTGCTAACTCAGCTTAGGCAGGTTAGTTTTCTGAAAAGAAGGCAACAAGTCACAGAGGTCCGTCCGGAAATCCGATCCAGAAGATATCTTTCATAGTAATCTCACATACATGCTAGTATAGTCTGATTTCTAATTAGCTTTGAAATAGATAGCACAATGTAATATCTGAGTAAAAGTTAAATAAAAGACCAACTAGGGGCTGAGCCAGCTTTAAAAAAAAAAAAATTATATCCTTTATATTATTAAAATTGTAATAATTATTTTTATAATTAATATTTTTCTTGTAACAATAGTATAACACTAGTGCTGAAATATGTTCACAAACTTTTTGTACTATAGAAATATTATGTAAATTAAAATTGTGACTACCTGAATTATTTTTTTTTCATTTTTGCAGTTGAATCAAGCTTTATTTTTTGCCATAGTTACATTAATTTGTTAACAATTGGAGAAAGCAATAATTTATCTAATATAAATTTAATTTATTAAGATCGGGTAATATATCAAGAATCAATATATTTTTATGCTTAAATTGTATTTTAAGTAGCAAATTTTCAATAGTCACATATATAATACAATATTATACACTTTATTATTAAATAATTAAAACTAGTTGATATTTAATATCAATTCCAAATGTGAATTAATCATTTCTTTGCTAAAAAATAATTTTATATTTTTATTTTTAAAAGTTTTTTAAATATTACCATTATAAATATTATATAGTATATAGTTCATTAATACTTGATTAATCTATCTAATATCAAAAATTAGATTCAAAATCCAGATTTAAATATATTTATAACAATTGATGTTAAATAGAAGAATATGGAAAAACTAAATTGGGTTAATTAATTATATTTTTATTTAATAATTTTGATTATATAAATAGTGAAGAATTACAAGTTTTTTATTGTTTTATTGCTGAATTAGAAAATTCAATATTAATATACTTTATAACTAATAGTTAATTGTTTTTTTAAAAATCAAGAATATTATCTTGTCTATACAATTTATGATATCTTTGACATATTACAAAATAAATAAACTTGTCTGATAATCCAAGTATATTGTTTATAATATATGAAACTTACAAAAGAGTCAAATTCTTTATTATTAATTTCACTTAGTATCAATTTTATAAATTTTAACAGTACATATATTGTATTATTTAATAAATTAAATTGAATTCTATATTTATAATTCATAACAAAATTCATATAAAATAACTATTTGAAAATTTGTTAGATTTGATAAAAATTGTATTTTGAAGCTGAATAATCTTTAAATATATTATTTATTTCTTTATTATTATCAACTTCAGATTCATTATTTTCAGAACTTGTATTATTTAATCTTAAATTTCATTGATTATCACCTAATGACATAATTTGACTTAATGAGATATTACTTGTTCCATGCTAAAATATGAATTCTTCTTTTTCTGAATATTTGCTTTTTTTTTTTTAATATTTATAAAAAAATTCTATTTATAGGTCAACAAGTAATTCATTGCATTTACTACAATCATAAATAATTTTTGTTTTTTTTTAGGATTTTTTCTTAAACTTTCATTAAGTAAAGCTGAAATTGAATACTTTCTTGATATTTTGAAAATTGATAAATAGTAACATAAAGTGTCAAAATTATAATTAATACAGTATATTTAATAGCTTTAAATTATAATATAATACAAGTATAATATAATAAATAATATATAGTATAATATAGTATGTAACTCCAAATTGTAATATAATATAACAAATAATAATATAATATTGTATATAGTCCTGAATTGTATTAAAAAAATATTATCCCTGGCAACACACCACCTCCTCCAGCAACTAATCAATAGATATGGGAAGTACACTAAGCAACAACTCCACAAATGACAACACCTTAGATCAACAGTCACAATTACATAACCCTTCAACTAACAATTCTGAAGACAACACAAACTTAATTCACGAAGTATCCGCCTACAACAACACGAACAAACAAACACACGTACAATATACCCCAACTTCATCAACATCAAATTCATCCTCATACAGCACTACAGACGAACTCAAACCCTCAACAAATGAACACACTTCATCCCAAACAAACACCAAGATCTCACCCAACGGTACTGCAGATAGACCGTACTGGACAGTGGCCACACTAAACTGCCGAGGGCTCTCTGACGACCTAAAACGAGAAACCTGGTTCACAACATGGGACATGAACAACTGGGATATCGTAATTTCTACAGAAACAAATGGTACTGACTACATCGAAAAAACATGGAAAACAGAAAATTACTCGACATGGTGGACAGGAGAGAAGAACATCGGCGCAGGAGTTGGGGTCGCAATCAAGAAACCTTTATCAGACCGCATCATTCAGATAGAAAAATACGAACACAGAGCTATATGTATCGACCTTGCACTCCCCAACAAATCATACTGCAGAATTATCGGTACTTATCTCCCAACCAACGCAGGTCAAACCAAACAAAAAATTCAGGCACAAATCATCAAATGGATCAAACAACACGACCAAGAGAACTGGCATGTGATCCTAGGAGGCGACTTCAACTGCAGCCCATCCTTCAAGGCGGATAAAATTAGCACAAACACATTGGTACACAAGGACA